TTTATAGCTGGAATCAGAACCAGGATGATGTCTAGAGACCCAGACTGTGAGGAAAAGAAACATTTGCTTTTGCTTGGTTATTTTCTAGTTAGAAAAGCCTTTTTTAAAAGAGACCTTTAGAAAGAAATGGTTCAGCTTAATCTGAATGACACTAATGTACCTTCAAGTGCCTTTAGCAGGGCGGAGGGGACAATGAAGTACAAAATATATTCACAGAAAGGTTTTTGATATTGAATGGCACATTTATTATCTGAATAGAAACTTGAGGAAACACTAAACAAGTTAGAAACCTAGGAAATAAGATCAACTCTGCAAATTACCTTTGATTTGGCAAGAGGACTTCTACTGCTCCAACGAGGAAGTAAAAGCCAGACCGATTCATTTCCCATCGTTAATATCGGCCGATATAAGCATATCCAGTGACTATCGGTATCGGCTAATTTGATTGCATATATGAGCCAATATAGAGAACAAACCATATGACGTATTTTTGTAGGCTAACCCTGAAGTAGCATCTCCATGAGGTCTAATGAGAATTCACCTCTGGGATGTTTTCATTGGATTTTGGGTCATTAATAAATAATCTCTGTGTTAAACACACGTTTCTGAAGCGTAGGCGTTTTGTTCAGCAGGATAATCTTCACAGATGAACGCCATTTTTATGATGTTTGAAGCGTTAATGCGGCCGACAGAAGTAAAAAGCTAACGTTATGCTACAAGCTAACTACACCACGGTGGGATGATTGTGACGTCACTAGCGTTATGCTTCAGACGATCTCCGATAAACTAATCCACGTAGCTTAATAAATAGTTTACTAACATAATATTGACCTTAACCTAAAGATTAAACCTACAGGAGACATCTCCGACTAGTGAGAGAGTTCCCGCCCTCTGTGTCCGGCGTGATGACCTTTAATGTCCCCGACAACCACTGTAGTCACATTTAGCCTCTTGTTAGCAACCGCCTTTTTAAAGACGAGTAAAAACTTCAAACTTCACAAGTGGAGGTATTACCTAACGTAGTTTATGTGCTCTAACAAAACACCAACATCTCTTCAGCTTGTGTTAACCACAGACCTTATTTCAGGAGTCTAACCACAAACACATTCAAAATCCCCGTTGACTTTTAGACGTTAGACCCCATGGCGCTAACATGCTAACTTACTTCCTGGTTTTAGGACTCATTCCTGTGGTGCTCTATTACGAGATATAATCACCAGTCAAACAGCATTTCATTTGAGTTAAATTGCACCAGCAGTTCTCTTTCACCAGCAGAGGGCGCTATATGGATTACAGCAGCATTATCACCATCCAGAGTGTCAGACGGTGAAACATGCAAAGTAAGAATAAAGTTGAGAGTCTTTCTTATACTGTATATATTTTGCTCTAGTGTTTGATAACTGCCTTTGAGGGAGTCTATAGTCTATATTTATTTTTCTACCCAGAAGAAACATAGATATGGAAGCCCATTTCCGCCAGTTAAAAAATAAAAATGAAAACTTGTCTTTGTCGAAATTATGAGATAATAAAGTCAAAATTATAACTAAACACATTACATTACTGTTTAAGTAGCATGGACTGTACCGTTTCACTGTCAATGTACCACACAGTTATTTTGTAGGCTAGAGTTCACGGCAGTAGATGGCGTCCCTGACTTTATTATCTCATAATTCCAACTTTTTATCTCTCTTTTTATTTTTTTAACTGCCGGAAATGAGCTTCCATACATAAATCTAAGATAACGGTTGATATATCGGTATTGGACATTTTTCTCTCCCCAATATTGATATCGGCCCCAAAAAAATCCCATATCGGTCGGCGCCTTAGAGAAAATACACACAAACCGAACAGACATGTTCCCCAGCATGAGTAGTGGATGAGTCATGTCTGACAGCTCTTACTGTTACTGTGATGGCTCCAGATTTCCAGGCAAACAATCTGCATTCATCTCACAGACATACGGGGAGTTTGTCTCCCTCGTCTGTCTCTCTACGCCCCCCCTCGCCCCTCCCCCCACAATACGCCTGTCTCCTTTACAGACACACAAACACACAGGTAGAAAAAAGTGTGAAACTGACAAACTTCTGTTGTAGGACACACACTCCATATGTTGTTGATTGGCTTCCTCTCAGGAGTTCTTTACTTATGGCGTTCTGCTTGAATCAATCAAAATGCAGATGTGGAAATGATCTTATGAGAGTTCAGACCAGGTTTGTATATCCATATGTCTACAACAGAACAGCTGGAGGAACACAAACACACACACACAAATTCACAATCAAACCCGTGAGGGTTAAAGATGTAGCATGAAATTGAGAAACTAAACTTAAAGGGATACTTCTCCCATTTGCATTAATCTTTGTATCATTTGAAACCTGGTAGTATTTTTGAATGGTCGTGCATCCGCTCAGCAGCAGAGACATAAGGCCTCCTGTCGACGGCGGTGAGGACGAGGAGCCGGGCCGGCTCGAGCTGGGGCGGACTGGTAGTGTCTGTGCTCTCACTGTTTGTCTATGGACACAGACATAGAGTCTGTTTTCTGACAGGAATTTACAAGATGCTAATTCCTTCTGGAAGAAATCTCTGAATCAGTTGAGGAAACAGTCTTATGCGTTGAAGTAAATATGTCTGTAAACCTGACCTTAGTGGGAATGGCCTGCGGTGCTGTGCATTCTGGGATTTGGTGTCTTTCATCCACATGAGCCAAAAAGACACTTTCTGCCTTTTCTCAGCCAAGGAGGCACCAACTTCAAAATGCATTTCACATTTCTACATATATGATCCAATGTCAGTACAGATTCATGTTTTAATGGGTGAAGTATCCCTTTAAATTCGGACTGAACAATCAGAGTCAAACAGGACATCTATACCCTTGAGGCACAATCGCAGCATCCTGCAGTGACATAATATGCAGAGCGAGCGAGGAGTGATGAACGATGAGCTCTCAGGCACCCTGAGTGCTGACACAACAGCTGTTTGCCAAAGCACTGTCAGGCGTCAGGCGCTTTCAAAATCTGGTTGATGTTCCAAACCAAAATGCAAAAAACACTGCGTGGAGATCTTCCAGTCACTGTTTGCACCAGAGGTGAATCACAGAACGTTTGGGTTCAAACACATCAAGCAAATTGATTCTCCTTGTGGGAAATGGGTCCTTACTTTTTGTTTGTTTTGTTTTTAAGCTGAAACTACTCTGTAGTGCTCTCAGCTGAAGGTGTAGTGAGTACAACAAGGGTGAATAAACAGCTTGTTTTGTTGTGTTTGAGGACAGTTTGACAAAATAAACCTCTGTGACAGGAAACTGGGTACAATGCTGCTAACACTCAAAAAGGGAACTGGTGAGCTATCCATGGTGCTGAAATCCAATGCTGTTCCCACACAGATAAAAAAAAAACATCAACAACACACAACCTTATTTTTGCAAAATAATGATTTCGAAGTCAAATTGATTTTTCTTTGACTTTTTAATGTTTGGTTAACAAACAAAAGCAGCAGTTCTTAATTAAGACTAGTAATGCTAAGTTAAATCCTGGTTGTATATATTCCCATTCTTAGTTTTGATATTTTTAGTGCTTATTTACTTTGTATTTAATATTATATTGTGTTTAAATTTGCAAATATTGTGTTTTTTGCTCATTTTGTGTGTTTGGACAACCTGCTGCTGTAACGCCACAATTTCCCAGTTTGGGATCAATAAAGTAATTCTATTCTATTCTATTCTATTCTATTCTATTCTGTTCTATTCTGTTCTAGTCCATAAAAAACAGACATGTGTTGGATGAACAAGTGATCGTGAGTCGACCTTGGTTAGAGGTTTCACAGTAAATCCCTCAATTTTTTTTGTAATTTTACTTTTAATTAACTGTAATAAATTAGGGACTATTTTGTATTGTTCCCTTGCTTAAAACTTCAATACATTGTATTTCATTTTTGCAGCTGTAACATTAAAATGCATGGACAAGTTTCAAGAATGGGGGGAATACTCGATGTGTAACATTCTCGTCTCACACCCATGCAGTTTGTTTTTTTGCTTCACTACTTTTTGGCAAGGGGACACTGACTGCACTTAAAATAATTGGATGGTTATTAGATGAGCACTTCCGCCCTCCCCTCCTTCAACAACAAATAGTAAGATAAGCTGCCTCCAGCCTTGCTTTAAGCACAAATTAATCAGCTAATCATCTCTTGTCTTATCCCCAATATACAGCCCATTAACATTAAGCAACACTCTCTTTGGTTGCACTCCAAGCTGAGAACACTGACAATGATTAGTAGCTTTAAGGAGCAGGATAAATACTGTAATTTACTTTCAGCGCCTTGAGAGAAACTACCTGTCTGGTCCTTCCTTCCCTCGCTTTTGCGCTCTGACACACACACACAAGCTGTGTGTGTGTGCAGCACCATACTGTAAGTCATGTGTGTTTTAACATCCACTGACCAAACACAACACAGCTGATAAGATGGGGAAAGGAAGCGGGATATGCAAACCTTGTGCTTGTTCAGCTGCTTTGAACTAAAGCATGACTAGTTTTCAGTTGTGTTGTCAAATGGGATTCAATTCAGCACCTTTTTAATAACACCTCTGCTGGAGAACAGGAAAAGAACAAGGATTTTATTTGTGGTTGAATGCTACAAGCTTCATGATTTTTTTATGACTGTATAGAAAGAGTGAGTGATGTTCTAACTGCATTGTTATTCTTGTGAATGGGCTCACATCTATCCTGCACCAAAAGCAAGATGTCGCCGAAAGTGTGTGTTTGTGCCCCGGCAAGACAATATGTTACTCATGAAGAGCAGAGTGGAGAACAGAAACACCCTAACCACCTTTCTGTGTGCCTCTCTCTCTCTCTCTCTCTCTCTCTCTCTTCTCTCTCTCTCTCTCTCTCCTCTCTTGTGTGTGTGTCTCTCTGCGTGTGTGTGTGTGTGTGCGCGCGTGTGTGTGTGTGACTCTCTGTGTGTTTGTGTGCATATTGGTAATAAGCAGCTCCGCCACTGCGCAACGATGGAGCTATCGCAACGATGGAGATGACGCAAACAGACCCAGCTCTCCGAAAAAGTGTTACAAGACGAACATGGCGGCAACTTAACCGCGGTCAAAGATGACAATGGCCACCGGGAGGAAGGATTCTAGACTTTTCGCCCAGGTACGGGACGGAGAAAGCAGTCTGCGTGCATCGGCAGGGCTCGTCGCTCTCCTTTAAGTCTCTCCTGCCAACCGAGGGGCGGCGGACGCGCAGCATCAGTTCCGAGAGACTCGCAACAGCTGGTCTCCCCCGCGCCCCACGACGAGAGAACAAACCCCGGAGAGGGACGGTGTGAGGAAGAGAGGGGGGCATGCGGTCAAAGAGGACGCCGTTTCCCCCCGGAGAGCCATGGAGAACCGGGATGCGGCAGCGCGAAGCTTAATCTGTGCGGGCGCGCTAATTGGATCGGAATAGCACGGATTCCTGCGGGCGCAAGAAGAGGAGCGCCCTGGACCGCGCGGAGGCACGGGCACCCCACCGATACAGAGGAGAACCAACCGGAGTCAATCTCCCCCACAAGTCAATGAGTATTGTGGCAGAGAAGCCCCCGCGGTGGAGTCGGCCAGGGCAGCACTCTCCTAAAATATGACCAGGGGTGCTTGGATGCGTCGGCAGCATGATGAAGGCTTAAAATACTGGTTTGCACCCCGAGAGAACGAGAAGCCATTTACCGAGTCGGAGCGGGCCCAGAGATGGCGACTGTCGCTGGCCTCTCTGCTCTTCATCACAGTCCTGCTCTCTGATCACTTGTGGTTCTGCGCCGAGGCCAAATTGACACGAACCCGAGACAAGCGGCCGGACGAGGGGCTCGTCACTACGGACATGGGCGAGTACAAAAAGTCCCTCCACCGACACCCTATCCCAACAACACCCGACCCCAGCCGCCTCGCCAGAGAGCAAGATGCTATTTTTCTAGGGAATTCTACCAAACCTCTGTGGCGAATGGACACCTGTCACCCCGACAGCCTGTTCAAAGACTGCTTTACTTTCACGGACGCGCAGACCGTGTGCCTGGGCCTCTCCGATGGAGGGGACAAGGGGACACAGCTGGCGTACGTGAATCTGAGCGATTTGTACCTTTCTTTTTGTAATTCCTACTCACTTTTGGATTTGTTTAACGGGTTTACAAATCTGGACGCTTTGAATTGCACCCTGGATATGAGCACGGGGGAGGGATGCAGCGAGTGCATCCGGGCTTATCAGCGTCTGGACCGGGAGGCGGAGGACAACTACCGGGAGTTTGAGCTGCTGGTTCAGAAATACGAGACGGATGTATACTCGGTCAGGACGTGCATGGAGGAATGCAAGGTAGGACTAACGAGGCCGCATGCACGCACACCCATGCACAATCACAAGTGCATTTAAAAGGGGGTGGGTTCACTGTCGTCATGACAACCGGTGGGCATATCTGTCAGTATATATTTTTTGATAGTTCAGGTCATCAAATTCCTAAAGTCTTCATCATTCTCGGGTTTTCCTTTTTCTTCTCTCTGTCTGGTCTCTTTTTTAAATATGGACTACTTTATGAACTGTGAATGTCTGAGGGGACTTTTGACACTTTTTGACAGCTCTGTGGGATAAGGGGGAAGAGAGAGCTGTTGAGTTATGCTCATTTCAATATCGTTAATAGCACCTGAGTGCATTTCCTGCACCACCTAATCCAGGCTTTGCATTGTTTCCTGTTTGCTCCAGTGCATATCTCAGGCTGTGCTGCAACATGTTGTGCATGTCAACAGCACAGCATACCCAGGACTACATCATCTACACACGCCCCCACATGCTTAAAGTTCAGTGTGACTTCGAGGCATCCAGGCCCCACTGTGCTGTGTTCAACACAAAAAAGGCCTGTAAACAGAAACATGGTGGGGATGCACTGCTGGAATTACATTTCAATCTGTTTCATTTGTTGTGCACTGGCCTGTTGCAGAGGCTGTGTTTCCCCTGTCATCTGTGTAGCGTGCTGAGCTGCTGTCCGCGGTGCTTAAAGGAGGCCCTGCAGAAGGCCTTTCAAAGACATACTAGTTTCTTTGCTTTGCAGGATTTATTTTTTCTCCCAAACACTCAACCTGGCAGTTAAGTGTGTTTTTAAATCCAACTTTATTGACACAAGGACAATGTCAAACCTCATTAATGGCAGGAGCAAGACCACTAAAAATCCTTTTGGCATCTCTTATTTGCTAAACGAGGCAGACTCAAGATTCAAGGCTTGATATGAGGAAAACATGCAGTTTGGGAGTCTTACATAAATAGGAATGGGAATAACTGTTATGAAAAGAATGGGATCTTAAGTAATGCAGCAGTGCAGCCTGACAAGGGCAAAAGAGATTTTGATGTTACTATGCCTTCCACTGTATGCTTTGCATGCTGCATGCTCTGTATTCAAAAAATGGATTGCAGATAAACTTTTCTCCTGCACTGTACCATTGTAGTATATCTTTTTTTAGCTGAATGGATAGCAGCGTTGACCAATTCTTTGGTCCTGACATTAACGTTTTTTTCAGGAAAGACGGTTGTTATCAAATCCAGACAAGCTGCATCATCAACCATACAAAGCACCATAACGCATAGAGAATAAACATCAGCAGGAAGGCAGGAAATCTTCCATCAATAACTGCTCTCATAATGATCCAGCAGCCATAACTCGCTTCTCCAAGATGGATGTTGCACAAGGGCAGATGGTCAGGGAGCTGGACTGTGAGTGTTGATAATCCATGTGTGTGTGTGCGCGTGTGAGATGTGAAGATGAAGATGATAGTCAGTGGGAGGATAAAACCATCACAATGAAATCATGTGCTGTTTATATGTTTGTTTATTGTGACTCATACCTCATTGTTATTCCTGTTGTTCAGAGAGTGAATGGTATATATGCATGAATCTGCAGCCTCTAACGTCTTAGCTGCTTCCTTTCTCCTACAGTCTAATCAGCGCTTTGCATTTGCAGTCCTACTCTTTGCTAATGTAATCAGACTCAGGCAGGGCTTCAGCAGCCTTTTAGCCCCTTTAGCCCAATCTGAATTGCTAATCTATCCCAGTGTTCGTGTGACCTTTGTGGAAGCACACAGCACCCCGGGCCTTGCATTGCAAACTGCGGCTCCTGAAAGAACCACTCTGCTGGACAATAAAAAGACTTTACATAGCTTCAAATACCAACTACTGCTATTTTTCTCTTTCCTCTCCTCTCGTCTTCACCTGTTTGTTTTTTTTAAACAGCTGCTCACAGCTTCCTTTCAGGTGTTTTAAATTAATCAAAACCGTGACACCATGTGACTGTTTGTGTAAACTCTGGGTGTGCATCATAAATCCTGAGGGAGTTTTACCTTGTTCAAAAATAAACATTGGGGAGTAACTGACATGTGAGGTAGCATTAAGAGGTGCATTTAAAGACAATAACTTTGTAGCCAAGATGAGGATCTATCACAAAGAGACAATAGTTTCCACACAAACACACATAAAAGATAACTGCCCTACTTATCTTTATGTACTGTAGGTAAACTGTGGGTGTATTTAGCATTCATATCAGATTGTTATATGGAGCTTGGCTTTCCTTATGTGCTGCCAGAGAATGTGTGTTACTAGATTTCCCAATAAGCTTAGCAAGAAAATAATATCAAGACATGACATTCATCAAAGATTGTCAGCTAGAATCATAATGGCGACATAACATCTCTATCTATCTATCTATCTATCTATTTATCTATCTATCTATCTATCTATCTATCTATCTATCTATCTATCTATCTATCTATCTATCTATCTATCTATCTATCTATCTATTTATCTAACAGTAACGCAGCATGCACTGTAAGAACTCCAAGGCATTTTGAGATGGGTCCTTTCTGGAGTCTAAGCTCTCTGTTTACTTCCTGAAAGTTTGTGTAAAAATGTCGACTCAGATCTTTTACTCTAAGCTTGAATATTGTAATTATTTAATAGCTCTTTCTCACTGTAGACATTTACGTGTCACTACAGGAAAAGCAATAACCAAATAAACAATTTCTGTTGTCCATTTAGTTGCTTCAGGAATCAGGATCTTGGTATTGTGCTGTCCTAACTGGGACACTAGAAAAATACTTCCTGCTGTTAAAAGGCATATAATGGGGCGCTGGTGGCGCAGTGGGTAGTGTGCGCGTCCCATATATGGAGGCTGTAGTCCTCAAAGCGTGCGGCCCAGGTTTGAATCCGACCTATCTCTATCCACTGTCCTATCTCTCCAATAAAAGCACAAAAAGCCCCAAAATAAATCTTTAAAAAAAAAAGAAAAAGCCACACAATATGCAAGACGTCAGACGCAGTATCTGCACAGATTCCACCTGGTTCCCCAACAGGAAAAGCACATTAAACACCTGAACAGTGGAACAATGTTTTATTTCTTCTTCTGGGTGTATTTCAAGGCGGCTCCTCTGCACTGAAGCAGTATGTCTGTTGAAGGGTCGGTTTTTCTTTCTCTATTCTTTTATTGTTGTGTTTTTTCCGCCTTTTGATCTCTATGTTCCTGTTTACATCACACAGTCAAATGCACACACTCACACACACACATGCATGTGTTCAAACACAAACAGGGACACACACACACACACACTCACACACACACACAAAGAGCCCCATGTGCAGTGTTTCCTGCAGGTCCAGACCTGACTGTCCCTTCCGGTGTAATTTAATTTGCGCTCCCATAATTCTCTGCTTCTCTGGTGGCTCTGTCTCCAGGGCTCTATCTCAACATGTTGATCTCTTCTCTCTCTCTCTCTCTCTCTCTCTCACATCTTCTCTCTTTGTCTTCCCTCCACCTGTGCCAGGGCTCTGAGGACCCAACATCACACATACACATGTGTCCAGTATCTCTCTGTATACAACCTGCAGCCTGCACTCCCTCCTCCTTATAGACTTCCCATCAGGGGCCTCGGGTCTCTCTCTCTCTCTCTCTCTCTCTCTCTCTCTCTCTCTCTCTCTCTCTCTCTCTCTCTGTCCCTGTGTTGGTATATGTGGGTGTTGAGCTCTCTTTTCCTGCTGGAGTGATAGATACTGATCTAGGTTAAGGCTCTTTCCTTCCCTTCAATTACAGGCCTGTCCACATGGAGCCCACTGTGCTGCTTCACCCTTCCTCTCTGCCTGTCTTCTTACTAAAGTCCCCAATCACTCTCTTTTTTCTTAGAGGCCATTCGGGCCAAGATCTTATTAAATTAAACTGTTACGGTTTTATGTTTTAACTCCACAGTGATGATAGTTTGATTGCATTTTCCCTTAAGATAAAGACGAATTATGGAAGCCCCTGCTGGAGTATGTTTAAGAGAAATGGACCAAAATTTGATAAAGCTTTATTGAGCTCAATCAAGAAGATTTAGCATCACAACACTAGAGGCAGAGCAGAGAGTGAAGAAGAGCAAGACAGAAACGCATTCAATAGAAACAGTGAGGTGTATAGTAATGGCAGCTAAAGCCTCAGTGATAAATCTGTCGGCTGATAGAAACAGGCCAATGTGGGCCTAACACAGATACCAGAATGGTGGAATTTGTTTTCTGAATAATGCAGAAACAAAAGTATTTTTACAGCTAATACAAAGCAGAATATAATGCTTGGACTGATTTGGAAAAAGTGACATCACAGTTTGAAACTCTAACCGTCTGTACGAGAATTGATCATCAAAGAATTTAAAATAAAATTGCATACTCTTTTTTTAAAGATGTTTGTGCAAAAAATAAATTCAGATTCCATTTAGAAAATTACCTTTTCTAGTCTTTGAAATTCTCTATATCGGCTGCCATATTAGAATTGACAGTTTATCAGTATCAGACTAAATAATCGACTAAATTGGTCGGTCATAGATGTGCTTTATCTCAGATTAAATTATCTGCATTCCAAGACTTAACAATGGTCGTATTCAGTCTTACATTAACCATCCCCAGCTCCTGCAGCCACATATCCGATGTGTCCTTGGGCAAGACATTTAACCTGAAGCTGCTTCTGCTGGTTCATCGGCATGTGTGTGAACGTGTATTGTCATAAGCTGGCTCCATGGCCATGACAAATATGAGAAAGAACAACTTAAATTGAGGTAAAAATGATTTATTAGCACAACTCACCAACAACCATATATCACAAACAACCATGGAATGAATGTGAATGTGTGGCAAGAGAGAGAGGGAGCCAGAATCCACCCTGGGGTCGGGCTTTTATGCCCTGCAAGCAACAGGCCCAGGTGCTCTAGATTGGACCAGAACAAGGGGGACAGAATCAATTAGTAACAGCCTGACTAAGGCAGTGACCGTCACAGTATGAATGGGATTAGTTACTTCTGATGGACACCTTACAG